CTCTGGTCTTGGCGCCTCACTTTCCAATCTTGATGTTTTTGTTATTCGCAATATAACATCGGGAACTTCTCGGAGAACCTTTTCAGTTTCGGATTGAAGTATCTTGGGTCCAAGTGGATTTTTTGCAAAAGTGAGTCAGCCTACTGTTCAAAACTTGAACCCAAGGTACTTGAAAGTCTCTTGGCACGACGCCAGCTACACAAAATACACGAGTCTAGTGTGTTTCTGTTCTGGACGATGCTAATCCAATTAGAGTCGGTTGTGTAGTGTTTTCCCTCATTTCGCCACTTTGTCATCCTCCTCCTCCTTCTTCTTCTTCTTCTTCTTCTTCTTCCTCTGATGAACATCATCATGGGCGGCGCCAGCACGTTATAAAAGGAACTGCGATCGGACGAGGTCGCAGCTTTCCTTTCTTTTCTTTTCGATTATTTCTTATAGGCCACAGTTTGCAATAACACAATTTTTTGTTTCAGAATGAAAGTGCCGCAGTATCTGGCTGAAATTGTTTCCGAATTCTCGGGATTCCATCACACGCCCGACTTCAAAGCCTCCCGTTCCACTGGCGATTTTGAGGTGTGCTCACGGAAATCGTCGGGCAAAAACTCGAGAAGATCATCGACAGAATCGAAGCATTCCATTAATATTTCCGTCGGAGTGGTGAGTAGATATTATCGGTTTTGCAACTATGTCCTACCTTTAGCACAATATCGTTAATTCAAAACGTCATATCTCTGTGGCCGATGGAGGTATCAAAAAGATGTCAACTAAGAAATTGTTCATTAAGAAATGTTACACATTTTATTAGTTGACATCTTTTTGATATCTCTACCGGTAGCTGAGATACATTGCTTTCAATTAACGGTATTCTTGGATCACATTGTAAAGTTGATAATTTTCAATGCAAAATCGTTGTAAACTATTCCAAATTTACAGGACCACATCCCGACTGTGACCCCATCGGACCTCCAACATCAACGTTTTGTCAAGAGCGGAAACTCGTCCTCGTCCATCTCGAGAATGGCCTCGCTCAGTTCGGTCCAAGAAAAACTGCAGAGAAAACTGAAGAGATCCGCGAGTTGCGGCTCCGAAGACGAATATTCGAGGCTTCTGGAAGCGCCCAGAAAAGTGTCTTCTTATAGAGTTATCGCGTAACTCAAAGTCCCTAAAGCCCCAAAATCATCTTTTCACAGATGAGAATCTTTGATCTCTCGTATCTACCTCAATTTGCTGCGGGTAGATTTGTTTGAATGAATAAATTTTTATAAATTAAGTATGTTCGATTCCATTCTATCACATATTTCTTCAAAAACAAAAACAAGGGAAGGCACAACGAGTTAGACACCCGAATAAAGTGAATAAAAGTAAATGTAGAGGAGGAAAACGGGATAGACGACGAGCGGTTTCTTCGATTGCAATTCGTCGACGCACAGAAGGGTGCCGGCACTGTAGACGGACCACGCGGTGCCGAACATTCCGAGAAAGATCGCGAAGAGACGGAAGCCGGCAAACAAAGAGGAGACGAGCGAGGTGACGACGAGCGGGATCAGACAGTATCCGACGATTCCGAGCACTTGCGAGTAGCCGACGTCGCCGCCCAGGGCCCGTGCGATAAAGTAGACGAGGAAGCCGCCGCAGAACCACATTGTGATGATCCATGAGACCACCTGCAAGTTCACAAATTACAACTTGGAGCCTCCGCCGGGGATGGGACTTTTGAGATACTTGCGAAATTCTGATCGAATCCAAACTCTACAGAACATTTTTTTGAACTCACGCCAAACTGTCCGTAGAGCGAAAGGATGGCGAAGGCGAGAACGACGGCGAGCGGTCCCCAGAAGTCGGGCGACTCGCGGACAATGTTCAGTTTCATTCGGAAATAGGGCAGCGGGAGGAGCACGCAGCGGATCTTGTAGTAAATGTCTGTCAGGTCAATGTCCAGCTCCTCTCTGCAAATTTTTAGTTTAAACAAGTGCAAAAAAATCCAAGCATTTGTCGATACATTTGCTTTTCGATAATGTGTCTTTGTGTGTCTTTGTGTCTTTAGTGTGTGTGTCTTTGTGTGTCTGTGTGTCTGTGTGTATGTGTGTCTTTAGAGTACTCACAGCAGCGGAATCTGGTCGTTATCTTCCTCGTTCACCTCGAGAAGCCATCCGAATCCGTTGTTTTCCATGAATTTTCCGGCGGCGCCCGCGTTCGTTCTCCGGTAGGCATTCGCCGAAATTTGGCCGCTCGGACTTGAAATTGAGCCGTCTGGAAGAGAGAAACTCACTTTTTGTAATTAATTGCTTCGAAACTGACTTGGAACATCGTAGCCAGTGAGTGTGGGGCCGGAACTCTGGAAATCGGAGGCGTAGAATCCGAAATTGTCGATTCCGGAGGCGTTACCAGCCGAATCGAGGTCGATGGACACTTCCGGCTGCTTGACGCCCGTGCCCGGGTACTCCATTCTGCAAAAACCTTAAATTTCAAGTGAAAATCACGAAAGTCACGGTAAGGCAGGAGAAAATACGATGCATTTGATTTTTTTACAGTGGCTACCGTATTTCTACATTCAAAGGCGCAGCACAGGTTTCCAACGGGTCTCGCCACGATTTGAGGATTTTTGATCTTCGCGCCGAGCATCAATTGTTTTTCAGCGATTTTTGGCGGCATAAACGCGATTTTCTATGGTGCGCGGCACAAAACGACGATTGCAAACAACGGAAAAGTAAGATTTTAGCAAAACCTCACTGAAAAAATGCCGCTTCCCACCAAAATTCGTTAAAATAGCGGTTTAGGCAGAGAGCGGCGAGTGTAAGCCGAGATGACACTCAGCCGGTCGACGAGGACTTCATTTGCGAGTCTCAGAGTTCCAAAGCATATGCCCGATTAGTCGGAGTGCGGCGGAACGTGCCCAACATAGGTATTCGCTAGAATTTCCCCAAAAAAGCGGTAAAAAAGTTTGCAGACTTGATCGAGGAGCAGTTTATTTGCGGCCGCGGCTCCGAAGACGTTCCCGTCAGTTACACGTTCGCCTCGTTAAGCAGTGATAACGGCCTCTATCGGTTCATATCGAAAATTCAGTTCGCCATCACTCGGGTTCGTGTTTTTCATAATAAGGAAGATGTTTTCAGGAATATCTTGCATGAAAAATCACATTTTTCAGGACTTTGACACAAAACGGACAGTTCTGCACGATCATTCGCGCAATGGAACGCTCATTAATCAGGAAATGGTAGGGAAAGGCAACTCGCGAGAGCTGGCCAACGGCGACCTCATTTCCATAGGAATTCCGGCGCTAATCGGTTGGTTTTTCGGGGGAAGAAAACACAAGAAAGCATTTCCTCGCAGTTTTTGTGTTCGAAGACGTCGAGGACCGACAATATCCGGACGAGCTGCTGCGGAAATACCACGTGACGAGCCATTCGCTCGGGAAGGGCGGATTCGGAAAAGTGCTGCTCGGCTACAAAAAATCCGATCGATCAGTGGTCAAATTTGGAGAAAGCATGCCAAAAATCGAAACCCTCCCATTTTTAGGTGGCCATCAAACTGCTCAACACTCAATTTTCGGCCCGTTGCAGTCGGGCCATCGCAAAAACCCGAGATATTCGAAACGAGGTGGAAGTTATGAAAAAACTGGATCATGTGGGTCAAATTTAGTTGAACAATTGTCAAAAATTATCTAAATCTTTGCAGCCAAACGTGGTGGCGATCTACGATTTCATTCAAGTCGCCAAATACTCGTACATGGTCATCGAGTACGTCGGCGGCGGCGAATTCTTCTCGAAAGTCGTCGATTCACGCTATAATCGACTGGTGAGTGGGCGTTTGATCATAACTAATTGATAGTCAGTTTTTCATCCCGAAATAGTCTATGTTCCCCTAATTCGTGCTCACTTTTCAGGGACTCGGCGAATCGTTGGGCAAATACTTTGCCTACCAGCTGGTCGACGCCGTAATGGTAACGTTTTCCGTGTTGCTGTTCTCTTATCGGTCCCCGATTTCTTATCAATTAATCAACGCCCACTCGCATCCATCATATTTTTGCAGTATTTGCACTCGGTCGGAATCTGCCATCGCGACATCAAACCCGAAAATATTCTCTGCTCCGACAAGTCGGAACGATGCGTTTTGAAGGCAAGTTTCTGTGGGGAATGTGTTCAGGCTTTTAGGTGGAAAAGTTGGTTTGTTGCCGTATTTTGAAGAGTTTTAGCTCAAAAAACTCCCGAGAAGGATGGTAATTCGCAGAAAAATGCGCGTTCTTTTGCAGTTGACCGATTTTGGAATGGCGAAAAAGGACGCGCGAATGAAGACGAGATGCGGCACTCCGTCCTATAATGCACCCGAAATTGTGGCGAACGAGGGCATCGAATACACGCCAAAAGTTGACATGTTAGTGGGAAATTCTGAAGTGCTATCATGCATTTTCGAGTGGACTTTTCACATTTTCCCGGCTTTTTGAAGTGCTTGCGATGCTTTTTGCCTATTTTCAAAATTTCGATCCAAACGTCTTAGGCCGAAAATGGCGACTTGTCATTGAAAATTTTAAAGTTTCCACCGAAAGTTTGTCATTTTTGTGCAGCTGGAGCCTCGGATGCGTTCTCTTCATTACTTTTTGCGGATACCGCCGTTCAGCGAAGAGTACACGGACATGTCGATGGACGATCAGGTCATGAAAGGTAAAATTGCGATTTTTTATGAAATTTTGGTTTCCCACCCTTTTATACGCTTGTTTTTTGGAATTTACGCCCAGTTTGTGGGAAGCGATGAAGCGGACCATAATTGCTCTGTTTGTTTTTTTTTTCGCTCCGAAAATTGCGCTACCCCGCTTGAATTGGCTCCAAAAAACGAGCGAAACAATAGAAACGGTTGTTTTCCATTCGCAGGCCGCCTCCTTTTCCACAGTCAATGGCGTCGCATCTCGAGGGAAACGCAGAAAATGATCCGATGGATGCTCACTGTTCAGGTATGCTTCTATAGCGATCTTTGTTCTAGTTCATTTTTCTGGGCTCAAACTCTGGTAAATCGATCATTATCTGATCCGAGAGTTAGCATGGACCCGAACATCTCCTGATCATACTCGGATGTACAGACGAAGTGTTGTAACGCCGCGCATTTTTCTGAATTTTGAATTAAACCAAGTGCGTTACAACACTCCGTTTATACACCCGAGTCTGATCAGGACGTTTTGCTAACTCATCGGATCTGATATTCAATTTTAAGGTGGAAAAAAGGCCGTCGGCGATGGATCTGATGAACACGGAATGGATGCGATGCGCCGATTGTCGCCAAGCGAAATACGACATTCAGAGAATTGTGGATAAAGGGAAAGAGGAGAAGCCGGCCGATGTCAAAAAGGTTTTGCAGACTGCCGGAGGGTGCATTGGGGTTTCGCGCCGTTTGAATTTTAGTCACACAAAAAAATGCCCACGCGGAGCCAATATGGTCACGGATCGAGCGTGAAAGTCATAGGAATTGTATATGGGCCCGTAATGCGTACCTGTGACGCTTCTCCGGTCAAAAGCCCTTTTGCACCTATCGGTGGAATAATGGACGTTATTTTTGGAGGAAATTATTGATTCAAAGCAATTCTAGACACATTTAATTGAGAAAAAAATAAATTTTCAGAAGCGAATGGAATGAAAAGCGGCCGATTCGTGACGTGTCCTCCGCACCCTGTTCACCCGTCGTCCGCAATTTGTCGTCGATTCCGGTGCACACACACATTTTCCGCCATTTTGTTTTTCCGTTGCACATTTTGAGCCCGTTTTCCCGATAGATTTTCACACAAATAATTTCTGAAAAAGCATCTGATAATAAGACGATTTTTAGGAATTTTTTCCTATTTTTCATAATTTTTCCCCCAAATTTTCAATTTTTCCGCATCCTGTTCCATACTCACCTGTCCGATTAGGCCCCGCCCACACGTACTTTAAAAATTCTGAAATTTCCCGTTTTTTGTTGTGAAATGTGTTTGTGTTTCAAAAAATGCTGTATTTTTCGCCATTTTTGTACCAATCTTCCGGCCCTTTCCGCCCGCTATTTTCTTGCTTTTTCCCCCCATTTTTCCTGCTGTTACCCATTGTTGCAGCCAAAATGCGAATCTCAGTGATTCGGACGGGTAGACGGCTCTCGTCTCTTCTGGCCACGCCCACTTTTGCGACGTCATCGACGAGCAACAAATGGCTGAGCACAAATGAGCCGAAGAGGGAAAAAGAGAAGATTGCCGAGGTTTTTGAGGTGAGCTTTGCGGTGTTTCGAATGAAAAATGGCAATTCTCAGTTGGACGGCCGAAAATTCGAGACGGACGGCCTTTACAACGTGTCTCCCGCCGTCCGACGTCTTCTGGATCGGCGGATACTGAAGGAGGACGGAAATCCGTTGAATTTGTTGAAACGACGAATCACCGACTACGTTCATCAGACTTATCGCAAAGCCGGTGCGCTTTTTGACCTGAAATTGTGAAAAATAGGATTTATAGAAGGATTGTTAGTTTCGAGCTTGGAAATGAGCACAAATTGACCAAGTTTGAGCAAATTAGCCTCTTTTACAGGAAATCGATCGCCTCTGTTCACAATATGCGAATCGGAGCCGCGAGTGGTCACCACCTTCCAGAACTTTGACTCTCTTCTCACTCCGAACGATCACGTCTCCAGGTAATGTTGCGACGAAATGACGCTTGAAAAAGTTGAGAAAACACTGGTTTTTCAAATATGTACATTTTTATTATTTAACTCTCAATGAGAGTCTCTCAACTTATATACAAAAAATTATTGTCGTCCTAGCAAAACGTGACGACGATCACTCCCGGGTTGTGTTGTTTCGGCACAGCCCGGCACCGCGCGGATCCGTTGAACAGTCCCAGCAATCCCTCCTTGATCACTGGGACCTTGTCCTTCGAGTGGTGTCCTTGACCCGTCTCGAATTCGAACACTGAAATTTGAATAAAATTTTTTGTAATTGCAAGAAAAAATTTACCTTTGTGCTCGAGCGTCCTGTCCGCGTGGCGCTCCAGCATCCTTCTCGCGAAAAGAACGGCTCCGCCCCTTGTCATGCCGTGGCAATCAAAGTAATTGGGACGGAGCTCGTTCTTTTTGTTCCACTCGATCACTTTGCGGTCGATTTGCTGCTCCAAACGGAGCAGCTCATCGCCGGTCAGCGATTTTTTGAGCTTCTACAAAAAAAACGATGAAAAAAGCAAATTTTGAGTTCTAGAGCTATACAAACATTTTCTGGTAAATCTCCATATGTAAAACTACATTTTAGCAGCTGACAACTTTTTTGTGCGACCACTTACAGGACTACTGTAGCTCTTGGAAGTTTACATTGAAAACTAATCATTTACTGCTAAGAACTACAGTAGTCCAGAAAGTGGCTGCACAAAACTGAGTATGAAAATTCTCCAAAAACTATTTACTTTAGGATGTACTTTTTTCTATTTCTCAAATAGATTCTTTCAGAAATTTGTTCTAGAAAAATGAGGAAAACTAAACTCACATGGAACTTGTTGATTTCCTCCAAATGCCGCTTTTTCGCTTCGGCTCTCGCTGGGCTCTCCAGCACTATTGTGCACTCTTCGCGAGTCTGAAAAATGAAACGTTTAGAATTTGTATTGCTTTTAGTTAAAAAGTGATTACCTGCTGGACTTGATTGGTCCTCCGGAGCAGCACGCTTCTGGCGAGTGCGTAGCGGCCGTTGGCCTCGCTCAGCGCCTCTCTGACGTGCTCCGCGCTCACTTTTCCGCGGAATTCCTTAACAAGATTGCCGAGAACGGCCTTGTTCATCTTGAAGGATGTCATGGTTTCGCGAGTGAGCACGGTTACGAATGGAACGGTTGTATACCATCAATCTCCGCCCTTTCCTGATTCATCTCCACGTGCGAGACCGATTGAGAGGGAAAATGGGACCTACGCGAAAGGCATAGGTTCTTATGTGCAGATGGACTGACCTTTTATGAGTCATGCGAACTCCGTTTTACAATCCTTTTGTTTCATCGGATCAACCGATATTCTTAATCCAACTCTTTAAAAAAGGATAACGTTGTCTATTAGGAATTCTAGTCTTTTTTCGAGGAACCACACTTGACACTGTAGTTATTATCGAAAAACCGCACAGGCTGATCCCATTGACCGACCATACAGTACTCTAATTTTGCAGGCGGCCGTCGGACACGTACTACATCAACGCGGAGCACTGTCTGCGCGCGCACACTTCGGCCCACCAGCACTCTCTGATGGCACAGGGACTCGACGCGTTCCTCGTGATCGGAGACGTCTACCGGAGGGACGAAGTCGATCGGACACACTATCCGTGCTTCCATCAGGTTTGTTTAACGCGCGGAATTTCTGAAAAATTCACTGTGACCCACTTGCTATTATTATTCTTGCTGAAAATTAGCGGTGAACGTTGAAACTTGCATTTTTTCAGATCGAAGGCGTCCGGCTGTACTCGCGTGACGAGTTGCTCGGAAAGAAATCGGACGGCGAAAACGCGGCCGAGCTGTTCGCTGCGAGTCCCGACGCCGAGAGACTACCGGAAAAACAGGAGACGCACAGTCTGGACGCGACGAAGGCGGCGGAAATCCAGCTGAAGCAGTTTCTGGAGAGTCTCTGCGATGAACTGTTCGGGAAAGGCGCCGAGAAGCGGTGGGTCGAGGCGTACTTCCCGTTCACGCATCCCTCGTTCGAACTCGAAGTCTTCTATAACGGACAGTGGCTCGAGGTGCTTGGATGCGGCATCATGGAGCAGAAATTGCTCGAGTCGGCCGGCGTCCGCCACAAAATCGGATGGGCTTTTGGCATCGGGCTCGAGCGCATCGCCATGGTCCTCTACGGAGTTCCCGACATTCGGTGCGTCTTTGCTCGCTGAAATTTATACAGATTTTAATGGCTTTTAGACTGTTCTGGTCAAAAGACACTGGATTCTTGTCACAGTTTGCCGGAAAATTGCCGTCGGACGAAGTGAAGTACAAGCAGATCAGTGCACATCCACAGGTGACCTGTTTTTCAATGGGAAACACGTTTTCAAGTTTGCTGTAGGTGATTTTTGACATTTCGTTCTTCGTGCCCGCCTCGACGCAATTCAACGACATGACCTCCGACGTGTACGATACGATTCGGACTATCGGAGGCGAACTTGTGGAGCAAGTGCAACTGACGGACGAGTTCGAGAATAAAAAGAAGGCGAAGAAGAGTCAGACGTACCGAATTGTGTACAGAAGTCACGAAAAGGCACTCACCAAGGAGGAGGTAGGAAATTACCCCAATTTTTGTGCAACTCACTCAAGCAACCCACTTTTCCCTACGCGAAATCGACGTATTGGCGATTTTCGAGCGGAAAAGTGGAAAAGAAGAAGCGAAGCGACAAAAGCGGAGTGTTACTTTCCAGAAATTTGGTTTCTTTACTATTTTTGGTCTTTCACACTCGCACAGTTATCAATTTAGCAATGTTCACAAAAAGTGCCTTTTTTGTACACGACCTACGTGATTGGATCTCTCAACAAGATCTGATCTTCAGAATCATGTAGGCCATGTTAAAGGCAAAAAAGGCCTGCACTTTTGACCCGCTTGCAATACTCCGATTGTACCCAAACTTTACAGGCTTCTTAGACTTGGATTGAAGTATTCTGGTTTCAAGTTTCAGACCGACCGGTTTATCTGGTCCCGAGATGTGCTCGTTCTTCACAAAGTCAGCATGTCTCGGGGGACCACATGATGATCGGATCAGTCTGAAACTTGGACCCATGAAGTCTGTTAAATTTCGGTCCGATCGGATTGTTGCAAGTAGTCATAATCCTCCGCTTCCGAATTCTATCAATGATAATCCTTGCAAAGCTGTAAAGCTGTTCAAAATCCAGGCTCTCCGAGCTGCTCCCGATTGATAATCGATCATAAAAGTGGTGACATTTGCAGGTGAATGTGATCCACAAGCAGATCGAACAAACACTCGCCGACAACTTTGGAGTTTCGCTCCGATAGGCACTTCTTTTTATTCTCCCTTTGACTTTGTGTACAAATTCCCTTATTTTCCTCTGAAAATGCCTACAGTTTTGCCCTTCAACTCTCTCTCTCTTTCTCTAATCAATAGTGGGTCGGTTTGGCACCTGTTGCTCGTAAAAACAGAGAGATTACGGAGACGCAGACGGTGAAAACGAGGCCCGGAGCACTCGGGGAATTATAATAGTTTAGAGGAGTTTGGAATAAACAAACTTTTGTGGGCCCTCCCTCTCGATTTCCCGCATTTAGGGGACTTTTTAGGATAGAATAGTAGTTGCTCCTCATTGTTTTCGTTTCTCTTTTTGTTATGAATGAAACTGTTGTTTTTCTTGTAACTTTTGAAACTGTTCCTTGGTTCTGTGCCAGTCTTATCTATCTTGTCTGCCTGATTTTCAAACTATCCGTTTTTTGCAGTCGGGTATCTTTTGGGGACCATGAGCAGCCGGGACTGAACGGATCATCGTCTGCGTCTCTTCCGTCCACCGACCCATTTCATCCGAGTCTATCTTTGGTAAGATCTTGCCGTTTTCCCCGGGAAAAATATCAAATTTCCGTTTTTCACAACGATGTTTCCCCATCTCTCGATTCTATAGAATATCTGGAGAAATTGTGTGTGTGTGTGTGTGCAATTGACACATTACAATTTTTATATATTTCCCACTATAAAAGATGCATTCCTTCTTCTTTTGGATCTTGTGAATGCAAATTGAGTTTCTATACGATTTTGTTTCATATTGTTCTGTGAAAATATGAGAATTTTTGAGAAATCATGAACCCTCAAAGAGCGGCCCGGTTCTTGACAACAACATTCACATTTTCCCCGTTTTCCAGCCAAAATGCTGCCGCGAATGCTGAAAATGCGAACGGTGGGCACCGTTCTGGCCATCGTCTGGCTCTTCGCCCTCGCATTCCTCTACGTACAGTCCTCGGCGGCCAATCGGACCCAATTGGTTTGAAAATCATTCAGAATTGCACCCCCAAAAACCTATTTTAGGAGCCGAAAAAGTACGTAAAAGTGCCGAAATTTGACCGAGAACCGGTGGTAGCCGTGCCGAAACGGAGTGCCCATCCGGCTCCGACGATCGATTTGGCAGAGGACACGACGATCCACGAGAGGAACGAAAAGGGCGTCACGTGGAAGACGTTCGACGTCGAAAAGTTTCTGAACAAGGAAAATGGCATCAGGGAGAGGTGGGCAGCCATGTTGGATTCCCAGAAAATAACGAAACTTTTCAACTTTTGTTTGAGTGGAATTGGTTCTTTGATTCCTTGACCGATAACTCAAAGGGAAGCATAACATTTACTCCAACTTGCCAGTTGATCACTTTCTTCTTCAATTCTTCGTTCTTAAGAAACTTTTTGCCAGCAGTCTGTATCTCAAGAACGAAGAATTGAAGAAGGAAGTGATAAACTGGTAAGTTGGAGTAAATGTTATGCTGATCAACTTTGTAGTTAAAGGTTGTCCTCTGCAAGCATTTCCTTTGAGTTATAAGTGAAAACTAGAGTCAAAAGCTATATCAATTAAGTTTTTCGTAACTCTTATTTGCAGGACAAGTACAAGGCGAATTCGTTCAACCAAGAGGCCTCGGACGCGATCGCTCCGATCCGAAAGATTCCGGATTCGCGGGAAGCGCCATGCCGCGACGTCGACTATTCGCAGATTCAGATGGAGGCGACGTCGGTGATAATCACGTACCACAACGAGGCACGCAGCTCACTCCTCCGTACGGTTTTCTCCGTTTCAACATGTCTCCGGAAGAACTGCTCCATGAAATTGTGCTCGTCGACGACAATTCGGAAGACGTGGACATTGGAAAAGAGCTGGCTCAGATGGAGAGAGTGGTGGTGCTGCGGAACAATCGGAGAGAGGGACTCATCCGGAGTAGAGTCAAAGGCGCGCAGGTGGCCGCAGCACCCATCCTCACCTTCCTCGACAGCCACATTGAGTGCAATGTGCAGTGGTTGGAGCCGTTGTTGGCCAGAATTGCAGAGAATCCGAAGGCCGTCGTCGCGCCCATCATCGATGTGATCAACGTGGACAACTTCAATTATGTGGGCGCCAGTGCCGATTTGAGAGGCGGTGAGCACTGAGCAAACGGCTTTTCGAGGCTTAAAGCCCCACTTACGATCATCCAAACAGACTGTGACTTGACAAGATTACCCATCTAGGTGTGGAGTATTTTCTGTAAAAGTCCTTCTGCAACTTTCACAAAATATACTCCATAGCAAGATGGTATTCTTTTGATCCCAATCGGATAATCAGAAATGCGTTTAAAAGTCAACTTTAGGATTCGACTGGACGCTCGTCTTCCGGTGGGAGTTCATGAACGAACAACTGCGAAAAGAACGCCACGCCCATCCGACGGCTCCGATCAAATCGCCGACGATGGCCGGTGGACTGTTCACCATTTCGAAGGACTGGTTTAACGAACTGGGCACATACGACCTCGATATGGAAGTGTGGGGAGGAGAGAACCTGGGTACTCTTCATATTTCACAAATTTCCTACCGAAACCGGCAAGCTCCGTCCCCTTTGACAGCGTCGGCGTTTTATTTTTCTGATTTGGCGCTGAATCAGCGAAATTAGCGAAGCAGTTGTCGAGAACTGGAGGGGCGGAGCTTATGGTACCCATCAACGGAATCTCACAAAAATCCTATTTGCAGAAATGTCGTTCCGCGTGTGGCAGTGCGGCGGCTCGCTGGAAATCCTTCCGTGCTCGCGCGTCGGCCACGTCTTCCGCAAGAAACACCCATATACGTTCCCCGGCGGCTCTGGAAACGTCTTCCAAAAGTGGGCGGTCCCCCTTCCGGAATCCCAATCAAACCTTCGCGAAGCTTCTTTTCAGGAACACGCGGAGAGCGGCCGAGGTTTGGATGGACGACTACAAAGGAATCTACCTGAAGAACGTGCCGTCCGCGCGATTCGTCAACTACGGAGAGTCAGTAGCCACGTTTCTTTTAAACTTGTTCGGAATTGGTCTTGTTCTTCTCTGATGACCACTCGGAATACCGACAGTCTTTGCTTTTTCTTTGTTTCCCGAGTCGATACGATTTCGTGAGCGAAAAGTTGCCTTTTTGCAGCATAACCGAGCGTTTGGCCGTTCGTGACCGTCTTCAGTGCAAATCGTTCAAATGGTACCTGGAGAATGTGTATCCGCAGTTGGAGTGAGTTTATTGAACAGAAAATTGACGGAAAGGGAGCTCCCACAGAAAATAACGTGGGTGCTCTCGGATTTTACGGTTTTGCTAAAAGTTGATCTCGAATTTTGGAATTTCCTCAAAAACGAGTCTGTTTTTTTGCGCAGAGTGCCGAAAAAGACGAGCGGCAAATCGATGCAGGTGAAGATGGGCAACCTGTGCCTGGATTCGATGGCCCGAAAAGAAAACGAGGCGCCGGGATTGTTCGCGTGCCACGGAACGGGCGGCAATCAGGAGTGGGTGTTCGATCAGCTCACCAAGACCTTCCGCAACGCCATCAACCAGTTGTGCCTCAATTTGGACAAGAAGGCCGTCACCATGGTCAAGTGCGATACGGTACGGTTTTTTGGAATGTTTTTAAAATGTTGGAAATGCTTTTTGTTTAGTTGCGCGTCGAAACGATGATGGTGGAGAAGAACGGATGGCTGACGCAGGGAGGCAACTGCTTGACCGTCAATCAGGTATGTTTTGAAGAGAAGACGTCATAATTATTCGGAATCCCCAAATATTATCCGTTTCCAGGGCTCCGGCGGTGAATGGCTTCTATTCGGATCGAGTTGTGAAGTGAACAACGGCGCGCAACGATGGATTTTCGAAAAACTCGCCACTTTTGAGTGATTATACTTGTATTTATCTGTTTTTCTTTTTCGTTGTTTTCCCTACTAACTTCTCCCCTTTTTAATCATATTTCCCCTGTGATAATAACCCATTTTCCGCCCCCTTTCTAACCCCATTTTCAGTTTTTTTCTTGTTCTATTTGAGTTTTTTTCAGTTTTCCTTGGTTTCAATTGTGTAAAAGTGCCTTTTCTCCTGCCTTCCTTTCAAATTCTCTTACTTAAATTCCAGATTTTTAGCCACTTGCCATGCGAAACGCCCAATTTTACTGTTTTTACGGATTTTCGATCTTTGTAACTCTTTTAATTCATGACCAGACAATATATCAGCTTTCTACTTCGATTCTTTTCGTGTTGCAATCAATTGTAAGAACAAATTGAGTTTGTTTTTAATAAGACAACTTTTGAATGAATTGCTTTCAATCTTTGTACTTTTTTAAAGTAGAATTTTGTCTTAAAACTTGAAAATATATTTGCTTTAATTAATCTCACCTAAAAACAGCCTAGAAGCAGTGGTTTAAAGCTGAAAATTGCCTAAAAATCAGCAGGACATCAGAGCTCTGAAAATTCACAAGTGTCGTCAAATGCGGTGTTTACGTACCGCGCGGTGTTTGCACCGATTCCAACGTGGACTTGCAGCCAATGGATTTTGACGGAAAAAAAGGATTTTCAGACGTTTTTGGTTGATTTTTAGCACTTTTCACGTGAAAATCTGAAATTGCAACACCGAGTAACCCTACTTTCATGGCGTTCATCGCAAAAATCCAAAAATTTAGGCGTTTACGTGACAAATTACGTTCTTCGTTCATTTTTTCTTAAACTTCATTACAGAATGCGTATCATCGTCGCACTTTTGAGCTTGGCCGCATGCGCCCATGCGCTCTACTTCCACATTGCCGAAACGGAAAAGAAATGCTTCATCGAAGAGATTCCCGACGAGACGATGGTCGGAAATTTAAATTTTTATTTAATCGACAATTGCGTTTTAGGTGACCGGAAACTACAAAGTGCAATTGTACGACCCGAACACGAAAGGATACGGCGATTATCCGAATATCGGAATGCACGTCGAGGTCAAGGATCCGGAAGACAAGGTTTGTGCGGGGAAATTGAATAAGTCGCTAAATTTTATGGAAACATCGATAATTTCAGGTCATTCTGTCGAAGCTGTATACGGCGGAAGGACGATTCACGTTCACGTCGAACTCTCCGGGCGAGCACGTCATCTGCCTTTACTCGAACAGCACCGCCTGGTTCAACGGCGCCCAACTCCGCGTCCATCTCGACATTCAGGCCGGAGACCACGCGCAGGACTACCAGCAGGTTAGATTTTTACGAAAATTATAGAAAAATGAGGTTTTCATGTTCAGATCGCCCAAAAAGACAAGTTGAACGAGCTGCAACTGCGAATCCGTCAACTTTTGGACCAAGTCGACCAGATAACGAAGGAGCAGAACTACCAGAGATACCGGGAGGAACGGTTCCGACAGACCTCCGAGTCCACAAACTCCAGAGTCTTCTACTGGTCCATCGCTCAGGTAGAGTGCTGAAAAATAGTTTTTTTTTTCTAGTTTTTTAAAGCCAAAAGTGATGGGCGAACTGCTGCTGTCAAAACTTGAATTTTGCGCATTGTTCGCTGTTACGTCTGCAAAAACAGCGAAAAATGCGTTAAAACGCTTGTTTTTCATTGGCTCAAAACCCCAAAAATTCCGTCTATGACACTGAATCCATTTTTGCAGATCGTGGTACTCGCGATCACCGGAGCCTGGCAAATGCGTCATCTTCGTGGATTTTTCGAGGCCAAGAAGCTTGTCTAAATATTATCGATCGATTTCCATCCGCCCGTATACTGGTTCCCCCTCCTTTTTTCGTAATTTATGTGTATTTCTCCTTCTTCCCAAATCTTTTAAGTAATTCATAACGAGGGTTTCTTTGTTAGTTTTTATTGAGCTATTTTTAACTTATTAAAGAATCCAGGGCTGGGCAAAAGGCCGGCCCATGCTTTTCGAGGCCTGGAATTTTGACCCACTTGCAAGGATCCGATCGGACCCAAGATTCGCAGGCGTCTTGGACTTGGGTTCAAGAGTATTGGATCCAAGTTTATAACCGATCGGGGCTGTCCCGAGATATATGGATCAGAGGCTGAAAAGGCCGGGTTTTGCAGCCTTTTCGGCCTCTGATCCACATCTCGGTCCCAGATAATCGGATCAGTCTAAAACTCGGACCCATTATACATGCATCCAAGCCCAAGAAGCCTCCAAAGTTTGAGCCCGATCGGATCCTTGCAAGTGGGTCAAAAGTCCAGGCCGGAGTTTGCCCAGCCCTGGCAAAAATCCGTTATTATTTTTTCGAATTGTTTTAGAATGAATTGAGAGAAAAATTTTGGCGATTGTTTCTAAAAGTAGCGTCAGTAAATTGGCTGTTTTTGTAAATATCTGGGAAACATGTGAAGAAATCGGGGAAAAGGTGAAGTTTAGAAGGAATGGCGGGTCGACGCCTGGTTCAAGGACTCACCTCGCCCTGGTCGGTCGGCTTTTCGGCGTTCGGACTCGCTTACGGAGGATACCACGTCTGGGAGTCAGTTTTCATAAAAATGGACTAAAAATTTGAACTTTTCGGTTCTTTCAAAAAACCTTTACAAATACGTAATCCTCTACTGCAAAATATTTTAAAATCGCAGGAATTTGACCATATTTTCATGAAAACCAGTAAAAAGTTGTTTAAATGCACAAACAGAAGCTCCAAATACCGCTTTTTCATCGAAAATCGATTGCAGCTCAACACAATCGGGCACCAAGTACGATCTTCACGAGGATCTGGCCGGAAAAACGTACATTGTGACGGGCGCCACGTCCGGAATCGGACAGGTACCATGGTTTTTTCGATAAAAACGGGAAATAAATGCGAAATTCAGGCGACGGCGGAAGAGCTGGCAAAACGAAACGCCCGTGTCGTCATGGCGTGCCGAAATCGAGAGAAATGTGTGCAAGTGCGGAGGGATATCGTTCTGAACACACGCAACAAACAGGTACCGGCTTGGAAGTACTAAACATGTCAAAAAATGAGCAATGGCTCTGAACCGCCTTGGTTTTTACCTACTTTTGCTTCAAATTTCCCGACATAAATCCCTGAACTTCCAGGTGTACTGCCGTCAATGCGATCTCGAGGACTTTGACAGTATCCGAACGTTCGTGCAGAAACTGTCGAAGGGCAAATTCGAATTGGACCGAATCGACGGAATTGTGCACAACGCGGCCATGATGCAGAGCGAGAGGGCCGTTAATAAAGTGAGTGAGAATGTGGAGAAAAAAAAAGGCAAACGTCGAAAAAAAAAGGGGCGAGGAGAGAGAAGGTCGGTTAGCGTGGGAGAAGGCAGAGACGCAGGCGAAAGAGATTTCGCGCCTGCGTCTCACTTTTTCGCACGCTAATCGCCTGTCTCTCTCTCTCTCTTTCTCTTGCTCCCTGATTTTTTTGTCATCATTTTCTCTGCAAAAAATCAACTCATCTTTTCCGATTTCTCAGCTTTTTCTAAACAATCTCTGACAATTACCTTGCGGAATTCTGAAGAAAACTGATCGTGCTATTCAGAATTCTTTGAGAACTTTGGTTTTGACAAGGGTTTGCTTTGCGATGAGAATATCATAACCACCTGCGAAATCGTCAACTATTTCTGTGAAAATGCTCGCTTTTTGCAGGAGGGAATCGAGAAAACAATAGCGACGAACCACCTGGGCAGTTTCCTGCTCACGGGCCTCTTGCTCGACAAACTGCTCGCGCAGCCCAACCCCGTTCGTATAGTCTTCCTCAATTCGAACATTATCGATCGGAAATGCGACCTGAAGGTGGCGGACCTCAACGCGGAACAGGAGAAGAAGTTCGACGGGTACGAAGTGTACAAGCACTCGAAACTCGCGTCGGCGCTGTTCGCCAGGGAACTCTCCGATCGGCTGAGGGACTCGAACGTGAGTGTGCTCGTCGCCGATCCCGGACGAACCAAGTCCAATCTGTCGGCGCAGATGGACGGACAGACCTTCTTCCTCAGCAGATGGCTCCTCAAAATTGTCAGGTAACACACAACATTTTGACGACTTTTTTAGGGTTTAGAACTAAAATTTCGAACGCCTTTTTTCGACTGAATTCATTGTCATAGTAAAATAGGAAATCATGACCTTTTTTGCAGTTTCGGAATGGGCGAACGACGGACGGAAAAGGCGGTGAGACCGGTGCTGTTCGCCCTCTGCGACCCCGCCACCGCACAGGACAACGGCATTTTCATCGAGTCAGTTGGCACCCTTTTTTTGGTTTCTCTTATCAGTGCTGATCACTAATTTCTCTTTATCAATCTAGTCATTGTACTCCTCCACTTGTACACCCCGATTTTCAGTTAGTCACTTCACTCTGTTTCAATCTTTATTTTCCAGCCGCGAACGAGTACAACAGCCGTGGAATGACGTCGTGCAGGATGCGGAGAAACGCGCGAAACTCTGGAATGTCAGTGTCTCGTGGACCCAACTCGGAGAGCATCTTCGCAAGGTAAAACATGCGTCTGTCAACAAAAACACAAAGAGTTGGACACTTTTATCAGTCTTTAAGCAAACCGGGGCCGGGGGAAAAGTCCGAAAATCATGTAAAACGCGTGAATTTAGTTGAACAACCAAGCATTGTTTAATTTTCAGCTGAAAGAGGAACTCGGCGAGGCGGCGCTTCAAATTTCAGACACGCCGACCGTCAAATCGGCCGTCGATGGGTCCGGAGCATCGGGAAAAAGTTGGAGAACTCTGTGGCTCTGGTGAACATTACAATGATCTTTTTCTGTTATTTTGAATGAGTAGGATAGATTTTTTCGATAGATTCTCCATTTGTTTGTTTGTTTTGAAAAGTTCTCGAGTTTTATGAAGCCTTCTACCCATTTTTTCATTTTCTATTCAAAGAACTGGTTTTTGCCCTAATATTTTTACTTTTTTGTAATTCCCCAATTGCTTTTGATAATTTGCTTCAGATGTCCCTAATATCACTGTTTGTGAATGCGGGACTGAGTGTGGGCGGAGCGGTAATATGCTATCGATTGATTCTAGACTATATTCCCATTTTTATCGCTCGCAAAATGTACGGGAACGATCAGTGCAAGGTAAGCGTTGAGGACTTTGATTCAATTAAACTCGAAAAGGCATTCAGGTATCGAATGCCCCAGTGCCGGAGCCGATGGGCGTGATCTGCGCGGCGGTCTATCTGATCGTGATGTTCGTGTTCATTCCGATCCCGTTCCTCGAGTGGATCGGCCACGAAGCAGAGTTTCCGCACGAGAAGCTGCTCGCCGTCCTCTCCGGGCTCATCTCCATCTCGACGGCCATTCTGCTCGGCTTCGCAGACGATATGCTCGATTTGCGGTGGAGACACAAACTCCTGTTTCCCACTCTCAGCTCGCTTCCACTCCTCATGGTTTACTACGTGTCTGGTGAGCACTTTGGGCGAGGAAATGGGTGGAAACCTGGGAAAAGGCTTAAAGGAGAAGTAGTTTATTTTTCAATCTAATGCAGTAGTAAGCCAAACGATATGATTCGTTGATTCAACGAACGACTTTTGGCTTTTTTATGAAATGAAGGCGCCTAAAAGTGCTGAATCTGCAGGAAACTCGACGACGGTGATCGTACCGTCGATAGTCCGTCACCTGCTGCAGCCGTGGATCCTCCTTCCGATCACCATCAACATCTCATTCGTCTACTACATTTTCATGGGAATGGTCATCGTGTTCTGCACAAACGCCATCAACATTCTGGCCGGTTTGTCTATCGCGTGGACTTCTTCTGGAAATAAAACACAGAATTTTAGGTGTGAACGGACTCGAAAGCGGACAATCTCTCGTCATCTCGGCGTCGGTCAGCTTGTTCAATGTCGTTCAGGTACTTTTTCCATTTCAATGTCCTCAAAATTCGGCTCATTTCCGTCAATTTCGAGCAAGAAGCAGCGAAATGAAAGCGTTCAACTTTTGACCCCAATTCCACGATAAAGATGCTCTTCATCGATATTTAAAACGAAAAAGTGTTTGCAGCTGGTGCGTCTGGAATCGGAGAACTCGACGGGCTTCTGGCACCACATAATCTCGCTCTACTTCCTGCTCCCGTTCACCGCCTGCACCGCCGTCCTGTTCTACTTCAACAAGGTTCTTTCCTCCCCCCTCTTTCTTCCTATTTTTTCTACAATATCCGTTTCTCTTCAGTACCCGTCGCGCGTGTTCGTCGGCGACACCTTCTGCTACTGGTCCGGAATGACGTTGGCCGTCGTCTCGATCCTCGGCCATTTCAGCAAAACGCTCATGCTCTTCTTCATTCCACAAGTACGCCCTTTTCAGATGGATCATCCCAGAAAACTCTAATTTTAAGATCGTCAACTTCGTGTACAGTACCCCTCAACTGTTCCACCTCGTGCCGTGTCCCCGACATCGACTGCCAAAGTACGACCCCAAAACAGATACGGTACATTCTAGTGGAGTGTCTCTTTTTTTAAATCATTTTCAAGTGTTCAGGTCAGTATGAGCGTGGCGGAATTCAAGAAAAGCGAGCTGAAAACGTTGGGAAAAGCGTTTTTGGCGATTTGTCGAGCGGTCGGAATGCTCCACATGGAAGAGTTTGAAAGGACGGAGACAGGTAAGTATTGGGAAAATGCTTGAATTTATCGACAACTTGCAGTTACGTGCGCATAAACAACCTGACCATCATCAACCTGGTCCTGAAATTCGGTGGTCCGATGCACGAAAAGACGCTCAACACGTGGCTATTGTCGATCCAGACCCTCGGATCCCTGCTCGCCTTCTTCATTCGCTTCTACCTCGCCTCCCTCTTCTACGACGTCGTCGAATAATTTATAATTATTGTTATTGTAGGGTTGATGGGTTTTCTACGTCAAGACGCTCAAAACAATCCGCTGATACCCCCCAAAATTGTGATTTTTCTCTTGTGTCTGTTTTTTTCACTCAAATGCTTTATATTCGTTTTCCATGTGCTCTTGTTGCCAGTTTTAGTCAGGTTTCTTTGAATGATTTCAAAATGTTCTTGTGTAACACGGGAAAAATGAGCGGAAATGTTCAGATTATGGCTTGGAGTTTGCGCTGACGCTCAAACCAGAAGCCCGACGGGCCCGCCGCATGGACATCCACGCGACTCGGATCTCAAGGAGCACGCCGACGAAGTTATGAAGGTTGGTGAAAACAATCCCTTGAATTGTGTGCATTAGATGCTCAAAAGAAACGGATCGGAATCCCAGACCACAAATTGTACAATCAGTTCATTCACAAGTTACTCGACATCCATTCATCTCAACTGTCCGCCTCGACCTTCGCCTCCTCGTTGACCCTGTCCACGTGGCAAACTGTTCCCAGAATATCGCGATCCGAGATCATCACCACCAGGACCAGGTCCTTCGACGGCATCGCAAAGCGTTGAGTGTGATCGAAACGGCCCGCCAACGCTTGTCTCCTGCAAATTATCAATGTTGAATACATAAATGACAAAATCGACTTGTACTTACACTTGGGACCGCGCGTGAATCGGTTCATTCACCGGCGCAACGTCAAAAGTGGCGAGGATCGCGGGCAGATCGGATTCGGAGTTCTGATGAGTGAAATGGAACGATGCACCATGTTGGTTCTTGGCGATAAAATTCTGAAAACCAAACATCATCAGATTTTCAGTGCATCTTTGCTTCGTTAAGAAGACATGAACAGAAAATGGTTGACTTTTTTGGGATTTCTTCGTAGCTGCTCTCACCCGTATAACAGTCCAAATGTCCTGGGCACTCAGCTCGGTGACATGTGCCTGAATGTCGGAAAAGTGAAGGAACTGCTCGATGGGCAGCTCCGTGAGCACTTCCAACCGTACTCCGTTCGCCCGTTCCCACTGCTCACTTCTCACGATTCGGTCCATTTGCCACGTGGCTCTCCGCTGCGAAAACTCAATCTTCTCCAGTTTCCCGGGCTCAAAGTGCTCCAAAACGGAGAGAATCTCGTGCTGCTCGGATCGCCACTTCAAATGGAGCGTCTGCGCGCGGATCTTGTGCGTCTGCGATTGCAGAGTTTTGAGAAAGTGTTCGTTGAAAATGAGTTGGAAGTGATCGACGGAGGGAAAGTTGGAATAAGTATTGAGGATGAGTCCATTCACGATAAACTTGTTCACTTTCAACTTTCGGATGGCCAGTGCAAAGTCGTGGAACGCATACTCGTAGTGCATCGACCCTCCAGTGTTCTCGAACGATTTTGTGATCTTCTCAATCACTTTCTGGTTCTTGCCCGGCTGGTAGAGCATCGGAGAGTTCGTGAACTCCACCTCGATCCGGTCCGCTTCTTTCTTCGAATACTTCACAGTGATCACTGTCAATCCGTCGTCGGACCACGAAAAGATCGAGCAATTCTCCGAGACGTAAATCGAAATCGAGTCGAGAATGTTCGTGGACGAGTCGACGGAGTGCAGATCGTTCCAGGAGCATTTGCGGAGGCAACATCTGCAGGGAAACCACATTTTTTTTGAGGTTTGAGCGGTTTTTCGGGTCAAAAATCGTATACTATCGCTTCAGAAAATGAGTGATCCTTTTTGGCTTTAAAGTTCGGCTCCACAGACCCAAATTTGAACGAAAAACAAAAACGACAAAACGAATACCTGTCCCTGAAGTTGAGCCGTCCGGCGACGGACTGTTTGAAGTGGAACGGAAGGTTCTGCCACGTTGGCTCCAATTTTGACATTTCCTGAAACGAAAAAGGCTGAAAATGAGGCGGAGAACGGCGAAAAGGGAAAGAATTGCGAAATATTATCGACAGAGAAAGAGGGGCAGGGAAGTGAGAGAGAGAGAGAAATGGGAGAGGAGGGCAGGAAGAAAGGAATCGGTGTCAAATAAACGGTTTGTTTGTACTCAATGATTCACTCTTTTTCCTGGAAACTGATAGCAAAAAACGGTTATCACTGCTATGTTTGTGTCATAAATGTGCTGGGCTTCGGCGGTCAAAATCGGCTTCTACCTGGGCCCAGTATACTTCAATCCAAGTCATAACTATGAAGATTTATTTGATGGGAAACATTATAATGTTATTTCCATCACCATTCTACAACAAATATATTCGATATGTCCGTCGACAACCGCATCACTTTGAAGTCATGTGCTGCTCCCAACGTACTGTCCGTGACGATCATAGTCTGAAAATCATACATCTTTTCTTTAAAAAAAAATTGCCTTGTCTCATCCAAATTGCGAATTTGTGACAATCTACGCAAATTTTCCGATTCGGGTCTAATTTTCTGAACAATTTCACGCGAAAGCGGAAGTGCTCCATTTAGCATGTTGAAAATGAGATCGACTAGACAAATTAGAGCATTATCTGACATGGCATCAATAAGTGCAAGTCGAGCCGTTCCGTTTTGAGCCTTGGATAGTGAAATTATTGGTTGGTTGAATGAATCCAAATCTCATTCTCGTTTATGATTTTGGTATGAAGACATGAGTGACCTTGTTGGCTAAAATATTGTCACGGTAGCGAATTTCTTCAGGACAATTTTTGTGCAGATCGATAAGCAATCATGTATAAGGCTGACTGGTCGCGTCCTTATAAATGGCTAGAAACGTGTTACACTCCCCTGGCATCAATTGGTATCCCAAACAGCTAACACTTGACTTGTCAGCATTGTTTTTGTAGAAAATGATGTAACTTGCTTGCAATCTCAAGTTTCTGATAACTTTTGAGTAGAATATGGTGTGCAGTATTTAGAAACATTATCGTCATATCGTAGTGATGTGCCAAAACCGATACTAGACGTTCCAGTTTTGGTCAATTTTAGTCATCGAATCATCAATAACAACCATTGCTTGCTGATTCTTATATTTCTTTAGCTCTTCCAGATTTGGGAGTCCTTCGCGAAGAAAAATATCGTTTCGATTTTTTGAAAGAGTCTGGTACACTTTCAAAAGTATCGTAGTACCAAAAACAAACTTTGCTTTCGGCATTGAAAATTGTGTTCCGTTGCTCCACAATCTTTCGAGCTAGGGTGCTTTTACCTTGGCCACTGGGTCCAACAACCAAAATTGTGCTTTGCCATGCAAGACGAAGAACCATCTGTAACCATATGATTTTTTTTTTTTTGAACGAAGGAAGAATCAAAGTGAACATGATCTGAAATTTCAGTCTACAAAAGTCCAATTTCAATCAGTGTGTCATCTTTTCATCATTTGTGCAAATTTCAAATAATTTTTCAGATTCCGATAATCTCTGGGTTTTCTTTTAGATTTTGGCTATTCCCTGGTACTGTTTGCGTTTTGCCAACCGACCCTTCCGTTTGCATGATATCTTTCCGTGCTGGGTCGTAGAGTGACGTATGTTTGCTTGGGAACACTTTTGCGAACTCGTTCTCGCTATCTCTCCCCAATTTCTCTATTTGCGCAGTGTTTCGAAACTTTTCGACCCATTGATTTGATAACCGTTTATTGATTGGGCATTGGTTTTGAGGATCACATTATTATTATTACATGCAAGGGGCAAATTATACATCACAATATCCAAAGGGTAATGTAGTTCCATCTGGGAGAATTCGGCGCTTATCAAAAGTGAAGCGGAACTTTTTTGTAGTGCTTTTGAAATCGACTTTGGAATTCCTATCCCGACGGACTGACTGCTGTGGAACTTCAACCGAACTTCTTTGTCCAGTCAATTGCCTCCATCCGCTCCATTGTCACAATCTTGGCTGCCTCGGAGTTTAGCGTGATTCCTTTCGACTTGATTTTGGTCTGAAAGATGAGATTTATTCAGTTTCAGAGTTTTACAATTACCTGTTCCTCTCCATTGGGCAGTAATTCTTTGTATCCATACGATTTTCCAGCGGTCGCTACGAATTTCGTCATGGTTCCCTTTCAGCTCACTCGTGACTTGTCCCAAAAACGGTCCCATCTCATCTTCCAACAGATCCTTTGTGCAGCTCTGGACTTTGTACATTACAGAATCGGTGTCTGAAAAATGTGTTCTATTTGGATTCAAAGATTTAAAATTTACCAGTGTACCGAATCCTTTCAGGTCATTGAGCGCTTGCCTGATGACCCCAAGAACCCCTCACAGGACTCTGTCGATACGGCAGCCGTCTCCAGCTGGTGCGCCAAGTTCGATGCCGCCACAACCCTCATCCGTCTTCCGCCACTCTTGCTCCGCGCTTGTTCAGCTGTTGGAACGAGCGTTCCCATGTCGAGTTCCACGTTGCGATCCGGGATGCTGAGTGTGCGCAAGGGTGGTCCTCCGAGGGCCGTCTCGAGCAGTATCTTGACGGGGGCGTGCGAGCTGATCTTGTCGTACGCACCTGCGCATGGGAAGTCCTTCAAGAGGTATGCGTTGTCTTCGATCGGCTGTGACACGTTGATGCTGACGCCTTTCAGAGTGCGAACAAACTGCAACTGTTCCTTCGCGCCAGAGTTGGAGCGGGCGGTGACGACGAGTCGGTTGCTACCCAGGCTGGCGCTATCCACCTCCATGGCTAGCGACCGGTCGCCGTTCACCTGTACGCTGATGGGCGTTGCGCGGGCCCACTGGGAGAGGCGACTTGGTCCGCTGAGATTAGAAAGCTCGAAGACGATCATCGGCTTGCCTTGAGCTGTAACGACGTTCTCGACAATGGACGTGTAGAGGCGGTGGTCCTTGTCCTTGTTTGCCATGGCCAGGACTCTGGACAATCCTAGGCGGCAGGTTGCCAGGAGGGCATCGTATGCTCTGCGGTTGTCGTTGCCGAACTTCCTGAAGATCTCGTCCTTTGGTTCCAAGCGGGCGACGTCCGAGTTGACGAGTTTGCTCATTGACACCACGTGTGGAGCGAGGACGGGGACCATTTGTCTCGGGGCTTTGAGGTAGATCAATTACAGAGGTGTGCGGCTCCCCAAATGAGAAGGTTGTGATGTGTATGCCCGAAAATTGGTCTGAAAAAACAATTTGTATAAAACTTGCACAATTTCTCACAAAAATTACCTGCGTGGCAATATCGGACATTGATGCAGCCTCTGGCTCTGCCTTCATCTAAAGATTTTTCATAAAAATTTGCATTTCAGCAAAAAAGTTACCTGCGGTGGAATAGTGTAGACTTGAGCGGGGGTTGGCAACGGCCATGGTTCAGGAATCGGTGCAGGCTGCGGAGAAAGCTGGGGAAAATTACACTAGGTTCGGGGAGAGCGATTCGGATGATTTGTTCACCTCCAGAAGTTGAGCAGTTTAAAAAACTGAATATGATAGAATTCGGGTTTTTCGAAGTTTTTCAGAAACATTACCCACATTTTATATTAGCCTTGGTTCATCCAATTGCGCAGAAACGTCTCTGATGGGAAACGAGGTTTCGGAGTCGAGCTGAAAAGTGATTTTATGAGGAATTGGGAAGGAAACGAAGGAGTAGGCCTTACCTTACAAAAAAGTTCCATAGTGAGTGAAATAATAAGTTTTAAAAAAAGTTAAAGAAAATACATGAAGACGGAGGTTGGCTACAGGTGCGGCCAGACGGATGCAGAGTGAGGGGGAACGAGGGGAACGGCCGGGTGGCGAGGCAGCGAGAGGGAAGAGAGAAAGAGAGAGAGAGAGAGAGAGAGAGTCACGGGAAGACTGTATCCGGCACGAGAGGGTCCACAGAAGTTCACGGCCACTGGAGCGCACTTGCAACGAACCCACGCGCCAATTCAAATTTACAGTTTTGTTAAGTTGCGTCTTCGTTGTGTCACGGAGCCGAAATTGACGTAAATGGGCGCTTATGCCGATCGAGCTGAACTATTTTTTTAAATATTATATTTGTTTTCAGGAATCCGTGGAATCTCGTATGTTATCTCTTTGTGGGAACATTCTCAAGATGCCAGCCAAAATGGATTGGGAATGAAGAGGACATTGGGAGACTCACGGAGGATCAGAGTAGGATCTAAGACCCACAATTGACAGTTTCATCATTGTTTTATGGTGTCTTGAAGTTTGACTTTCGAGCCTCAAACTGGGTAATTAAACCGTTTATTCAAGAGGAAAGAAAGGGAAGATTAGAACAGAAGAAGAAAAGGAAAGAGGGAGAAAAAGAGAAAGGAATTAAACGAACCGTTGTCTGAGAAAGTGAGGACTGTTTCCAAGTTTCCATTGATGAAGAACTGAGTTCTTCGTCCGCAGTCGAGTGAACAGTTGAGACTGACCGACTCTCTGTCAGAAGGGATCAGGATGTCGTTGACACATCCGTCTGAGCTGCATTGTATCGTGGAGAAGTCCGGAGATGTGCTTTCGGGATCGGCAGCTGACCGTTGCGGCTGCACGAGCAAAACAAGAATGACATCCTTTCAGTTCTCCGAGTTGTTCTGCGTAACAAGATAATATCTCCATAATACAACTCACAGTCACGTTGACCATCTCAACATGGAGGTTGATCAACGTTTCCTGAACCGTTGCAGTAGCAGAGGGATCAGTCGAAGTAGCAATTGAAATCGAGGGCACTGGATCGGGAATTGCAGTGCAGTTCACCCACTAATCCCTTCTAATCATCGGTACCTCGTGTTTGTAATTCAACCAAATGATGGAATAGTAATAACTAGAAATTTCTCATCGTAACTTTTTATTTAAAATCAAAGAGATCATTCCTCGAGAACAACGGCAGGATAACGCAGAGCTGATATATGCAATGGTACTTCCACGCACACTCTTCCTTCTTCGACCATTCCGACTCATTCCTCCGACTTCGAACTGCCATCCGATTTCGGAAGAACTTCTTCTTGCATCCTTCGTGATCCTCTCGGGTTTCTTCTCGTCCTCATTCGGTTTCACGACCAAAATCAGTCAGTTGCCGTTGTGAAACTAGAATTCCATCACTTCATTTGCGCACGATGTCATTGACACAACAAAATCCGGCTTTTCCCACTCGTTTTCGGGATAATCGCATTTTTCCTCGTTCAGATGTCTTTCTGATGTCACTGACCCGTTTCGGAACGTTTCGGAGTCGAGCTGAAAAGTGATTTTATGATGAATTGGGAAGGAAACGAAGGAGTACGCCTTACCTTTTAAAAAAGTTCCATATTGAGTGGAATAATAGGTAAAAAAAATTAAAGAAAATACATGAAGACGGAGGTTGGCTACAGGTGCGGCCAGACGGATGCAGAGTGAGCGGGGAACGAGGGGAACGGCCGGGTGGCGAGGCAGCGAGAGGGAAGAGAGAAAGAGAGAGAGAGAGAGTCACTGGAAGACTGTATCCGGCACGAGAGGGTCCACAGAACGCCAAGTTCACGGCCACTGGGGCGCACTTGCAACGAACCCCACGCGCCAATTCAAATTTGAAAAAAAAAATTCTTCACTTGCATTGAAGTATATTTTGGGTCCAAGTTTCAGATCGTTCGGGCCATCTGGTCCCGAAATATAGTGACTTATGGCCTAAAAGTCCGGGATTTCGGCTCTTGTTTTATGATGAATTCTCCGAAGAGTTTCCGATGTTTCATTCCCGATTAAAAAAAACATTGAGAACAGAGGTCATT